CGCTGGACACCATCCATAACGCCGTGACCATCCCTGCCTCCGTAGCGATAAACTTTATCAAGCTAATCGACAACGCTTCCCAAATTCCGTCACGTCCGCCTCATCACACTTCCGTTTGGAAACTACTGTAACATAGGTGCTAGCTGGTGTCGGACTATGATTTCTCGAGTTGGGGATGTCTTGCGGTTCAAGTAGGCCCTTCCGGGCCAGATTCCGCTCTTCAACCCTCAGAGCCCATAATAAGGTCATGAGCACCTCTCTAGACGGTAACGGTGCGCCATTCAACCACATCCGCGGTGTCCGACAGCTGTCGCGCCCCGCCGAAGGTTCAGTCGACAACCCTCCAACACGTTCGTCGCATCCTTCAGACACCAACCGCAATGCCTCCATCGTCGCATCCATAAGTGGACGCGCCAGAGTGGGGCTGCAGGTTAAGATTCTCTGAAGAGACTTGAGTCTCAGAGTTGGTAGAGTCGCGGCCGTAGTCCGGGTCCGCTGCGACGGCTGTGCCAATAACCGCGTGCGTGTCTGAGACGCTACCGTTGACCTCGTCGTTGAGGAACTCACTGATGTCGAAAGGGTCCTGGAGGAAGGCGGTAGAGTCACCAGCCAGATAATCGTGTTCATAATCGAGGGAGTTGGGGGAAGAGAGAAGCCCACTTTCAAGGACATAGCGATCTGTGTCAAGGGCCGCCGACAGACTGAAAGAATCACCGATGATGTGATTGACAGCATCTGAAGCTGCAGAAAGAAGACCAAGGTCGGATGCAGAGGGGTTTGAGAGGCCAGCCATGATTGCGGAAGGTCCTCCGACTGTTGACACTGCAGGTCGCACAACATCGCTGCAGGACGTTGTGTCAAGTCGGAGGAGGTCTTCACGTTGGTCTCGGCCACTTCGTTGTCCTCGGCATCTGCCTCGTCATTTTCTGCGATTGGTGAAAGCTCGGGAGATAGCGAAGCGGGGTTGACGGTCGGATTGCTATGAGACGTAGTCATCAAATCATCGACGAGATTCTTCGTCTCATCGATAGAGGGACGATGGCCATCCTGAGAGCCAAAAAGCTCTGGTGATAGGGTGACAGAGTTGGATCGGAGAGGATCGAGAGGCGATGATGACCGAGTCAGCATGCCAGAATCACGGCGAAATTTGTTCAGCTCTTCCACCAAAAGCTGGTTCGCCTTGGTGACGTTTGAAAGGGCTGCTTCGAGCTCCTTGTTCCGCCTCTCGAGAGCCTCGACCTCTAAACGCTTGCGCTCCCTAGAAGACTGCGCAGCCCGGCGGTTGCGAAGGACGCGCTCGACTCGTCGCTGCTCTTTCTCATCTTCCGTCTTCGCTCTTTTCCTACTGGGGATTAGCTACGGGCCTGGGGCATTATCCGATTGCGTCATACCTTGGTGGGAGATTTGTCTTAGGCTCCGGGAGAACTTGACCCCAGGATTTCCTCTTCTTCACAGGCTTCTTCTCACTCGGAGGAGAGTCGGTGTCCGGGGTTGAGACGGGGTTGTCCTCGGTGAAGGGTGGAGGCGTCAACATATCGGAGGGGTTGATGGTGGTATCGTCAGCGGCCAAGGGTGCGGCGTCGCCGAAGAGTGATGGATAGAGCTCGCCCGGAGTCGAAACGAAAGACTCGGCAGGCGAATCTTCGAACTTGATCATGGGTGATGTCTGTTCCCAAGCAGCCATTGTAGTTTGCGGTTGTGATGGTGATGCAACAAGGCTGTGGGATAGGCAGATAGGAGGACTTTTTCGTTGATGCGAAGCGCGAGACACAATCGACCTCCTAGTTCCAGTGTGGAGAGTTGGAAGGTCACGGCGGGGGGGGGGAAGTGCGTTGCAGTAATGATGTGGGTGTGAAGTGGGTTATTGAGAGTATGGAGGTGCCGTCCTAGTTCCTCATACAAAAAGATATAGAAAGAGCGTTATTCTGAGAAGGCATGATACCTCTTTGACGAAGACCCGTAAAATGAGTCAGACTGATTAGGTGAGTCACCGACACAAGGCACCAGGTCCGAGTGGAAGCTTGATCGTCCGGGTCCTGGGGCAAGTTGACAAGTGTTCTCTCTCGTAGGATTGGTTTGGCGTGGTGAGAGCTGAGGATTGCTAGACCTAAACCCAAGGCGCAGGCGATGTGGCCTCTTTTGTAAGTTGAGGCCACGCTGGCCCCGTGCAAGGGGGCGCTTTGGGATGGTTAACGTCTAGTGCCTCAGGCACAAGTGCCCAAGCCTCCGAAAGCCCCCAAGGCCGCAAGGGCAAAAAGGACCTACGGTTGTACCTGAGGCCACAGTGGAGGTCGTAGTGGAACAGGGGGCGAAAGCGAAGCAAGGGTGCCGCCTAAAATGGGTTCAATCACGCAAGGTCTCAGGAGGTAGGACTTGTCGTGTGTTTGTCTACTCCGTATCGTGCCAGCGTGCCTGCGCGCAGTAAGGTAAGGAAAGTACCTGTAGATACGTATATCTTTGCAGAGTGGAGGGGGCGCAGAGGATGCTCCAGTGTCATCAGTGTGAGTGGGCGAAACCCCAAAAGGGAGGTAGGTACTAGGCGCAAGGGGGGCATTCGGAGCGAATCCAGCGAGGTAAGTGGGTGGTGATTGGTGGATCTATGTAGCTGACAGCAGTGAAAGGAGCAGGAGCGCGTAGCGACTCAATGGTTTCACTGGCTCGGATGTCTTCCCCAGTTCCACGTCTAAGGTAACTTGCAAATGGGGGGCCTCGGGTCAGCTCTAAACAGGAAACACGGGAGCCACGGGGCAGAAACACGAATGGCGCACCGTGCCAAACGTTGGCCGCCGCTCCAGGGAGCATCCCCCTTTTCTTTGCTTCCGCGAGGCACGAACTGTAATTAATTGACCATCTCTTCGTAGGTTCCGAGTCCGCTCAAGCGAGCGGGCTTCGACGCACTGGATAGTCCGGATGCTTCTCGCTGATCAGGTTGATCAATCGATCCTCTGCCGTATCTTCACGTAAGCCTGGCTTCGCTCCGCTGTGTTGCGTGCCGTGCCTCAGCTGCCGTTGCTGACCTGGCTGACTAGGTGCCTGCATGGCTGACATGGCATGCGCTGCTGTCAGCTGAGCTCACCGCAACTCGCCGACTCTCTTCACCGTTGAAATACTATATAGCAACAAACCCGATTCACGCACTTGACATGTCTGCTACAGTGCTAAGCGGCGACGTCCAAGTCTGAAGCGACCCACAGAGACGACTCGCAGTATCCATCGCCGGCAGACGTTGGAAACGATGGCTGATTTGGTGCCTCGACGTCGTACCGCCCGCCGCTTGCTAAACTTAGCCACCCGACTTCCCCGGCGTTATTGCTCCAGCCCAGGCCCACCCAAGTTTGAAGACCTCAACCCTCGTGCGACCTTACTCATCGGCGCCGCCACTGCGAATTCCTCCTCCAACCTCAGCGTGTTTTCACGGAAGACAGTGCCCCAATCCGGGCTGAATCTTACTAGGTAGAAGTACCTTTCGCCCCGTTCAAATGCTTCCACGTTTTATACTTTGGTGCCATCTCAAGGTCGCAAATTCTATTGCGAAAATGTCCCAGAACCAGCATATTTGGCCGGGCCAAGGCATTGCACACTGTGGTGCTGCTGAGTCGTCTTCGTCTCCGCTTCTTAATCCTCCCTGCCTGCCTAGCAATCCAGGAATCTCATACCGACTGTCTTCTGCTCCGATTCCTCACATTACTCGACCTCGCTTGCTTACGGCGTCATCCAGTCGAAGTAAGGGAACTTCACCAGGCTGAACAGCATATTGCGTGTCTTTATCATACGCGGTTTTTTTTTGGTTTTTTTTTTTTTTTGGGGGGGGGGGGGGGCANGGGGGGGGGGGGGGGGGGGGCATGGAGGGGTCGTACCAGGTCGCCGGTCTGCGCTCCGCACTTGATGCGGCCGCTTCGCCGGCGTACCCATCCATCGGACCACCGCTCCTGAGGCGATCTAGGCGTTCTGATTGCCGCAGATCCGCTGCACTGGCCAGCAGGCGACTCCTGAGTCCAGACTGCGACGCCTTCAACCTTGGGGGTGCACCGTTGAAGGCCGCTGTTCGTCAAGATACCTTTGATACGCTTTAGGGAGTACCAGCCATGAACTTTAAGAGCTGACAATGATAAATGGAATGTGCCCGGCTGAACATGTACGGTGTACCTCCGATGATATCACTGACATGCCGTCGAGACTTTCATCGATGGCCCATGTACCTATGCCAAGTTCGCCTCAACGTCTTGCGACGAGCTAGGACTAACTATGATTACATTAGTCGCCGTCGCCTTCATTGTCGCCTTTGCCCTCCTACCGAGTCCTATGTCGACGCCTAAGGTAGTTGTGTGTCTAGTCACGTAATAGCAGCCGACTCTCTCTCAATCTAAACATCGAGTGTGGCACGCTGTTGGCGCGTCGTTCGGTATCAATTGATTTGCACCGACGCAACTGGCTGTGGCATGTCTACGCCTTAAGCAAACCGAGGATGTGACAAGTACCAATGTTTCACCGCATACATTTCATCCGAGACCCCCTTTTTTGTGATACCCACACCCGCTCGTCGCATATGACCATGTAGCGTCGGATTTGGATTCAAACTCGTTCAATCGATGTGCTTAAGGGTCGAATGAACGTTAAGAGCTTTGTCTCCCGCAAATGGCAGCGAGACGACCGAGGACGAGAAGCTGAACAGGGTACGTACGCAATTAGCTGTCGAAATCCGTCTCTCAATACTAGTCGGACGTCGGCAAGAGGAGAACGAAGTACCTCCCTCCCCACCTAGTTCGAGAACAATCACGGAAGGCCAGACACCTTGATCGTCGATTTTCCCCCTGCTGCCCGAGTTAATCGTTGTTTCAACGTAAGGAACGGCGGTACGTACAGTGAACTGCTCCCTCAGTCGTAAAAGACCCCTTATCTTCCGGACGTCCTCTGCCTGTTGCATGTACTTCTTGCGTAGCTTTTGATATCCGTATCATTGTTATTTAACCCCAGTTCATAATCTTGGATCTGGAAACTTGTTACAAGACAGGATCCCAATTACCGTGGGCACCTTTGACAATGCCCTCAATGTCTGAAGTTACCCAGCCGCCGTAAAAGTCACCTGGCTGAGGCTCAACCAGTTCCCCATCTACAAAACAGTCCCACGGTCCTGCATAGAAAGACAAATATCCCTTGATTGCTTCGAACCCGGGCGATGGGGAGTCGTACGACCAGATGCGATTCGACACTACCTGTGGCTCCTGAGCATTGGATGTTCCGGGTGCAGTAATTGCGTAGTAAGTTGCAGCACCCTTCCACTCGCAGTATGTACTCCGTCGCGTCGGGGTGAGTGACACGTTAATGGAAGTGGATGGGAGATAGTATGCTGTCCGAGAATCAGTTACGATTCGAAGAATTGTGATGGTCGCATAAGAAAACACACTGGGAGGATGGTGAGTCTCTAGCACCCAGTAGGCATTCTTGGTGTCTGCGATCATTTCGCCGTGCCAAGTGATCCGTAGGTGTTTTGACACCTTCTCCAGCAGTGGAGGTCGTGGAAATGATTGCACGTTCATTGGTTTTGCAGCCATGGGAGAATCGATTTACAAAATGCGTTTTTGCGCTCCTGAGGGATAATTCTGTCGGGCTAGAGTTTATTATACTATGTCCTTCGCTACGCGGACGCCAGCATGAGAGCATCATAGATATCGTCTCATCCAATTTCCGGCGATATAGTTCGTCCGGTTTGAGGCGTCCAACAAACCATTGATGATGAGCCGCAGGCCCGCTGGAGTCAAGGCTGGAAAGGGTTATGTGGCAGGGCTTGGGAGGGTGTCTCGCTTACATAATACATCTGCACCGCATGGCGCGTTACGTCATGCGCTATGGCTGGTCTGAGAGACGGCCCCGCCCGCGCAGGTGTCAGGCTGCCAGCTCGTGAACCGATACCGCTCGCTGTCTCTTGTCGCCGTTGCCGACAGTCATCATCCGACACCTGACTGGCCAACGAATGACATAACTTCCGCGTCCGAAGTTGATCATATTGTTCACAGCCTGGGCTTTTCATATTTATTCCGTGATATCTAGCCTACCTTGCTGCCATCAGGCAAACGACACTCTCAGAGCCGTAGCGTTGCGATAACCTCACGTTAACCCCGCCACCACATCCCCGATCCTGAATCGGCTCCAGACGACATCATGTCGAACCGTCAGCTGTCCCGAGACATGCAAGTCGAGTTCCAGGCGAGGGTACGTACGAGATACTGATTAGCCATCGTGCTGTGAGAAGGCACCTTTGCTATGATTACTGACAGAACTCTAGTTCCAAGCCAAGCAAGCCCGACGAGAAGCGCAGAAGGCCGCGAAGCAAGACCCAATCCTGAAGAAGCAAATCCAAGATGTTGGTCATCGCCAGAGAGCGCGTCCCAATGTTGCTTTGAACCACGGCTAATGTTCGATCGGATAGCTGCTGAAGAAGGGCGAAACAGCAAAGGCATACCAGAAGGCTAAAATGCTTCTTTCTAAGCAAGCTTTAGCTCAGCAGATGGATCAAATGGCGGATATGGCCGAGCTGTCCGCTGCCCAAATCCAGGCCAATAACTCAATGAATCGCATGACGCATATGATGGGACAGTCGTCTCGTACCATGTCCCTCGCACAGAAGAACATGAACCCCGAGAAGGTATGTCGAGTCGATGCGACAACCACCGTAGTGATACCCTTGGCCTCTACTTACAGGCCATTTTCCATTCCAGACCCTTGTTACATTGGAGCAGTTCAAACAGCAAAACGAAGAGTATGCCATGTCCAACGGCATTTATCAGGACGCCATTTCGCAATCTACCAGCGCCCAGGTATCCGAGGACGCGGTTCATGAGCTACTAGGCAAGCTAGCTGATGATGCAGGCGTGCAGCTCAACGCTGAGCTCAATAGTGCAACACCAGCCAAGGAGGAGCTTGTCGCTAGTGAGCCTACTGCGGAAGAGGAGGATGCCTTGCAACAAAGACTGCGGGCTTTGAGAGCATAAGTTCGTATCGCACGCTGTCAAATTAAACAGGTATCACTCATTAAGGATTTCGGGACTTTGAATCAGGCGTTTTTGGGGAATTTGGCACACGCGAGAAGAATACTGAAGGAATGAGCTCACGAACACACATCGTCACGAGAAATAGTCTTCTGTAGGAAGGCTATGTGCCGCGGCAGCATTCTTGTGGTTTTAATCGAGACTCAGGCAACTCGTCGGCCAACGCGTATTATCATTAGACTTGAGGCATGTCGAATATTTTATTTCCTACATGTACAAACTGGCTACTGCTGTAATATCCCGCTTGATCATCTCCTGTGCAGTCTGCATCTTCTGATACAGTTCCGGATCGCCGATGATACGAGCAGCATTCTTGACCTCGCGGCATGTCTCGTCAAGCCGCGTGATGGTTCGCACGATTGTGCCCTCGAGCACGTCTGTGAGGTCGGTGATGTTTTTGAAACTCATGCCTCTCGCCCATTCATAGACCACCTCCATCAGACCGAACCTAGGACGAGATATGAAGTCATTGGAATCGTCCGCGGCTTGGATGACCTGGTACAGCGTTTGAACCTCGTTAACCTTCTCGCTAATAGCAATGATGGTGTCCTTGCCACGCTCAAGATTTCCGGTCAAATTTGGCTGTGAGTCAGTCTTCTCCTGAAATACGAAGGCAGAAAGCAAAGCTGCAATCTCGGCCGGCTCGTAGTCTGCGAGCACGTTGTCTAAGATTAGCTCCGTCAGGACGAGTTCATCGCCTGAATGGATTTCGCAAGCTACCTTGCCCTTGAGCTGAATCCTGGAACTCTCGTCGATGAATTGAAGTTGCTTCAGCACTTGAATTCGTTGCTCATAGTCGGGAAGCAGCTGTAGATTCTGGTCCGACAGAGACTGGCGCAACTGAGAAATATGCTCCTTGATGAGCCACTGATCATGACACATCGCGAACTGTTTGTTCATATAGCGTTAGTAGTCGCTCGTCGTCAATGTGCCTTTGTAAAATAGATGTCACTTACATGCTTCAAGAACTGTCCACAGGACACTGATGGAGACGACGATGCAGTGAGCTCAGCATCCTTTCGTTTCTTCATCATCTCCTGGAATTGCAGGTTTTTGATCTTTGAAAGGTCCATCTCATCCCACAGGTCGTCCCATGACCGACAGATCGAGTGGAGTCTGTCCTTTGCCTTGATGTACTTCTCGCCACTCTGGAAGATCTCTGGCACGATACCTTTCGTCACGTACCTGGTGAGGCACTCCACGTCGCCCAGGGGCACATGCAAGGTCTTAATGCGAATGTGCTTCTTCGCCTGTGGGAGCGGCGTCAGATATCTGCGAAAAGCCGGAATGAATGGTAGAAGGTCGGTCGAGTCCCGAGTTTCCCTTATGAGTCTGATCTCGCATACATGCAGAGTCGGACTGCCCTGTGGGCCCTTGTTTGTTGCCCCGTCCGACAACAGAATGCCCGGTGTACGGATGCCATCTCTATTGTACACAATCAGACGCGACTGGCTGAACATCTTGCGACCGATAGGGATGCCAAGGAGGAACTTATACATCTCCTCGGTCAGCACTTTGTAGTCTTGAGAGGCTTGGTGGCAGTCATCAATTGATGCGTCGCAGGTATTGCATGAGTCCCGCTTGATCTTGGCCAGGTCGGCCTCCGAAACCTTGACGGCTTTCTCATGCTCCGGCAGCAGCTGTTGTGTGGCGTGTTCTGAAAAGCTGCGCTTAATCATCTCTTCAATCTTGAGTGCCTCCACTCGCAACAAGTTGAGAATCATGTTGTAAGTGAGTCGAAATTGGGATCTAAGCTTCGATGGCTCTCCCAAGATCATCTTCTGGAGATCAACAACTGGGGGGGCCTCATCGCCACCTGGCGGAACAATGATAACTGAACCAACAGTGTCCAGGCCTCGGCGCCCTGCCCGACCAGCCATTTGCGTGTATTCACCGGGAAGTAGATTTCGGAACGAATGACCATCGTGTTTCCGGTAACCTGAAAAGACGACAGTTCGAGTTGGCAAGTTGAGACCCATGGCAAATGTTTCCGTTGCAAATAGCACTTTAACGAGAGTCTGGGCGAAGAGAATCTCGACAATCTCTTTGACAATGGGTAGAAGGCCTCCATGGTGAACTGCAATACCCCTCGACAAGAGTTCCCTCAGTCTGATTATTTGAGGGAGGACTCGGTCTTCCGGCTTCAATCTGGCGATTGACTTCTCAATAGTCATATGAATCGCACTCTTCTCGGCGGCGGTGCAGAAGTCCTGGTTGCTAAGTGCATCAGCATTTTCCTCGCACCGTTTCTTCGAGAAGACAAAGATACAGCCAGGTAGCAAATTGGACTTCTTGAGAAATTGCACAAGATGAACCCAGAGATTCTTGTCCTGAGCAGCCGATGTGAAGCCGCCTTGACGACCAGTCCGTCCTAGATGGCCTGGTGCATGGCTGGCACGTGGTGGTCCGCCACGTCCTCTTTGCTGGCCTCCACCACCCCGAGGACCGCCGCGCTGCCCGCCGCGCTGTGCTCCACCTCTCTGGCCTCCTCTCTGGCCAGCAACACCGCCCCCGCGCGCCGAGTTGGTCGTTTCCAGGGCCTTCGGCTTGTCCTTGCCTTGAATGGCCTGGTTGGCTTCCTTCCACCCTTTTTCGACGAATTTCTTGTCGGAGTCCACAATCTTGTGTATGTTTTTGCCAGCCCAGAGGTAGTGTTCAAGTGGAATGGGGCGCTTTGGGGTGGAGATGACGTAGATGTCTTTCTGCTTTGTCCTTCCAACCCAAGAAGCGAACTCGTAGGTGTTGGGTACAGTAGCAGATAACAGGATGAGCGTGACGTGCTCTGGAAGCATGATAATGACCTCCTCCCAGACGACACCGCGTTCAAAATCATTGACGTAGTGCACCTCATCAAAGATAACGAACTCAACATCCCGTATCAAATCTGCCCCTCTATAGAGCATACTGCGCAGAATCTCCGTAGTCATGATTAGACAGCTTGCCTCTGGGTTGATCTGGACGTCGCCGGTCAGGATTCCCACCTCATCGAATGTTTGGCGGAAGTCACGGAACTTTTGGTTGCTCAAAGCCTTGATGGGTGAGGTATAGATGGCCTTCGTCATGTGCTTTGAAGCGAGGGCGATGGCATACTCGGCGACGACAGTCTTGCCCGCTGAAGTATGTGCAGCGACAAAGACAGAATCGCCGTTTTCGAGATGATAGATGGCTTCCTTTTGAAAAGTGTCGAGCTCGAAGGGCCAGTCTCTTGCCATGTCGGGCACTAGCTCCCTGAAATTTGGGATCTCTCTCTTGATGTCGACCATATGGGCCCATTCTCGTCCAGCCTTCCTAGCACTTGACGCTGTAAGGGTACCGTGTGGCTCCAAAGCCGGGAACTCAACAGGCAAGATAGCATCGATGTCCTCGCCGTCTTCCTCGTCGGACTCAGGATCCCTTTCGCCATTTGTTTGAGCTTCGCTTGCCGGCTCTTCAACTTCCGGCGCCTCCTCAGGCTCTTGGTCCAGCTCTTGCTCCACTGCCCTGGCCTCATCCTCATTAATCTTTTT